ATATTTATGACCAACATTTTAGGCTCTCTTCAGATAAAGGGGCATTGACTCATGTCTGGCTACTTCCTGTAGGCATGGAGCAACGTGAGAGAGGGGAGAGCTGGGAGTTGGCTCATGCTCAGTGAGAGGAGTAGCTAGAACAGTATCCGGTTTGCTGTCATCCTGGAGTCCTCAGGCAGCTGCTTTTTGAGGGAGATGAGAAGGCAGGTAGCTAGGATAAAAAAAAAATATTTTTATTATTGGCCCTATGAAATGGGGCTAGCCATCAATGGGACACAATAGCAGTTAAAACCAAATTTTATTTGGCAGGTGTCCTTGATCCAGAAGAGTTGGTACAAATGGTGAAGTCCCATGAGCTGGTGCAGGTGTTGGCATAGTCTGGGGAGCACTTTGTGGGTTGGACTTAGCACAGGCAGCAGGAGTGACCTATAAAATATGCTTGAAACTGGTTGGGGTTAGTGTAGGCTCTGGAGACTGTTTGCTTTTCACTAGACTGTAGTGAAGAAGTGAGCAGGCCTGCTTTTCATCCTGCCTGGCTCCCACATGGCTAGCATTACACCCAAAATAACAACACACAAATTGTATTCAGTTAAACACTGCCTAGCCCATTAGCTCTAGCCTCTTACTGGCTAACTCTCACATCTTGATTAACCCATTTCTAATAATGTGTATGCCACTTGACTATGGCCTACCGGCATGAGTCTAACATCCATCCGTCTTGGGTAGGGGAGAAGCATGGCATCTGCCTTTCTCTGCTTTCTTCCTCACACAATTCTGTTCTGTCTTCCCCACCTACCTATGTTCTGACCTATCAGGCCAAGCAGTTTTCTTTATTAATTAACCAATGAAACAACAGATAGATAGAAGACCCTCCTACATCACTAGACCTGATTTTTTATATAGCAGTAGAACTTTTCCAGGAACCTGTGTATTATCTACAATAAAAATGGAACAGATTTACATCTTGGTGTCATAGCAAAAGGCTACTGCTTTAGGTTAAAAGGTATGAACATTTTAGAAGACAATTAAAGGAAATTGGGAACTCTGAACCTCTGAAGATACACCTGAAACCTATTAATCCTGGACTATGAAGCCTGTTAAAGAGGCATACCAGTCTGTATTTTAGCAGGAAACTTCATTAAATGTCATGAGTGAAGTAATAAGTTAACAGTACCTTAAATTATCAAATGCCATTAGACAGATCTGAGGGGGGTAAATGAGCAGAAATGAGACAGTTTTTAAGCTATGCAGGCAATCCCAGATCCTCTCCTTAGTCACTGGAGAACACCAGTCTTAGAAGCAATGTTTTCCGTTAGCTGCTGAGTACAAAAGGCCCAAAGATTTTTCCTGTGGTGTGTGTGGGGGGGGGGGGGAATAGTCTACCTGTCTTGGCAGGAAGAGGAGATCAATTCCCCAGGTGAAGCATCCAGGAAGCTGAAGAGGGGAAAGGCCACTTTTTGCTGTGTGAGTGGCTTTGCCAAAGGCCAAGGGCAAGCTTGAACACAGAAGGTCCTTCTATAACCATGCATCTTCTTAGAGGAGCTATAGGGTACTGCAGGGACTGCGTGTCTGTGTGAGAAGCTCTTTTAATAAATGCCATACTCTCAGATCTGTAAAGGCATCCAAGAACTAGGTACTATTACCTGTTATTTAAATTGGGCATATAAGCTAAATTTAGGTGTGTATTTTATCCAATTAGTTACAGTTTATTAATGCTAGTAGATGAAAGGTTAAAAGGAATATTTTAATAAGTCAAAGAATTTTAAAATGAGCACACATGCACACAGAAACATTTTTAAAGTTACACAGACCATATTATTTTAACAGAGAGACAAATAAAGTACTTTGTAAGCTGATCAACCCAAAATTTTGGCATAGGCAGGCAGCAAAAGCCAGAAAAGCACAGAGGTGATCCCATTAAGGATCAGGCTAGCAGACGCTGCAAGAGGGAACAGAAACATAAGGATGAAAAATTCATACAGTTTTAAAGTGAAAGGACAGGGGAAAAAATAGATCCACTGTAGAGAGTCCCAGAGTGAGACAAAAAAACAAACAGCTAGAGGGGGAGGGGCCCAGTGTGATCCCATGGTAGACAGCAGAAGCCAGGGAGGCATAGCAAGCAGCTGATGGGGGAGTGCCATTCCTAAGGCCCATGGAAAGGGAGTCGGATTTAGATCCCTGTGCCTCCAGGCATGGTGCCAGAGCCCCCAGGAGCTCTGGAGAGGCGGAAATGGGAGGCAGGACAAACTGCAGGCTGTGAATCAGCAGAGAAGGAGAGGCAGAGGGGGGAGGGGCAGGAGTGAGCATCTAGAAACCACGGGTTATAGAGCCTTAGATAGCCTCAATTTAAAAGGATTTTTGTAAACTGCCATCTAAGGGTGTTTTAGGAATCCATTTTAAAAGTCTACGCCTAGACATGGAGCTCAAGTCTGTCACAGTGCATCTGCCAGGACAATCCTTGAGCTGAAAACAGGGCTGTGAAAATTGAATGGCAGACATCCCTGGCCAAGCAATATTCACCTCAGTGAAAGTCCCTGGTTTCCATCACATGGGTCAGGCTTTTGGCATGGGCCCTTGACTTCAGCAAAAGCCTGAAAAGCAAATGGGTCACCCCAGGAACCCTACTAGCCTAAGTAAAAAGGGGAACTCACAGAGTGAAGCCAATCTTGCCTGGTGGAAGGTGCTTTTCAGCCTGCAACCCTGGGCCCTGGGCCTAGAGGGCAGGGCGGGGACAGACCCTGAGCCCTGGGCCTGGGGGGCGGGGACAGACCCTTTCAGTGGAGGATCTCTATCTATTAAGAAAAATCTAAAGACGGGCCTCTGTGCTGATACAAAGAACGCAAATCAAACCAGATTAGACCGAATTAAAAATGCCCACATTTAATAAATGTAGCACTCTCAGGTGGCTGGGGGGGGGGGTGGATGGTAGACAGAGGGAGAGCACACGCAAAAACCCAAACCAAGTGTTCCTTCTCTATGCAGCTTCCTAAATACCCTGTGAGAGTGGTCCTGACTTTCCCCCCCAGGAGGGGTCAGTGTTTGGCAGGCTGGGAGTTGGATGCAGGCTGGCAACTTCTAGGCCAGGCACTGGGGTGACACTACCAACTCAATATTACAACATGTAATTATAACAACTTTGTTTCTTTGAATATTCTTATAATTTTCATGTGCAGATATTTTATCTTGCAATAATTAATTTTCCTAATCATTCATTCATTTTTTAATTTGATACTCTCATGAATATAACTGATCTTATTCTTTCCTTTATTAAATTTATTGGCTTTTATTTTTATTTTATGGGCAAGGGTGATTGCCTGCATGTATAGCTCTGCACCATAAGGATGCAGATGAGGCCAGATGAGGGTGTCAAATCCACTGGAACTGGAGTTCCAGGCTCTTGTGAGCAGCCATATGGGGTGTGGGAATGGAGTCAGGGAGTGCTTTTATCCACTTAACCCTCCTCCATCCCGTTCCTTATGTTTCAAATGTAACACTGTTTTCCTATAAAGCCACAATTACCTTGAACTTGCCATTCCCTGTCATCAGCCTCACAAAAAGCAGGGTTGAGAGGCCTGTACCGCCAGGCCCAGCTTCTTAATCTCCTTTTGGGCTCCTCAATATTTGTGACTTTTCTATACTGGATATTGTATCTTGTTTCTTTACTGATATGATTTTTACCTGTAAAGTAATTCCTTTTATATGCCTTTTATGACTTACCTATTTGTTTGTTTGTTTCAGTCTTCTTGTATGGGTGGTACATCCCCAGCTGTGTTGAACAGATGTGGAGCAATAAGCATTCTTGTTTTATACATGACTTTAAAGAAAAGTCGTTCCATTGCCCTAAATTTTTATGCGATTAGCAGGGAGCTTTTCATGTATGACTTTAAGGAAATGTATGTCTATACACAAACATTTTTAGGATTTTTGTTCCTGAAACAATGGTGTGTGCTATCAAATACTTTCATGCACAGGATGAGAAGAGTTCATTTGTTCATTTGTTGATGAAGGGTGGGTTATCCATTGGCTTTGCCTGTTGAACTAATAATACATATTGTAGGGGGAAATCTGTTGACTTGAAGTATAATTTTTATATGGGTTTAAGCTCAGTTTGCTATACAACTGAGCTTAATTGTATACTGTATACTGCAATACATACCTGGAGTTTCCCATCAATGTCCTCGCAAATTTCTGGAGTCAAAATCTCAGCATTTATAGATAGAAGATTCCTCAGAAATGCTTGTGCTTGGAGACATAATTCCACACACCTGATTTTCTGGCTATCAATACTGTCCTGGCTAACATCACTTTTCTTTAATTCTATGATATACAACAGGGAACTCTGAAAGAAGACTCCAAAGGGATGGTTTTCATCCCCTTTCAATGTATTGAAGACAAAAATGGGCCTCGTAACAGCAATCTGTATACATAAAGTGCAGAGCTTAGCTTAACTATGTATGCAAACACACACGTCATTTATTAAATGGCAATAAGATAAATTATTGCCTATGTGCATCAGGAGATGGACTGTGTACACTCCAAGTCAGCACCAGGCTCTTTGGTAAGGAACTGGTAAGGAGAAGGTCAGAGGCTCACACTGACTGGTGCTGATGAAGGAGGAAGTACAACAGGGGAGACTTGAGTAGTTTGATGCTGTAACACTGAAGATGTGATTTTGTCCTGGGAAAGAAAGGGAAGGACAGAAGGTTACACAAGGCTGATGAAAGGAAACACGATCTTCCTGGTCTTCAGTGAAAGCAAATAACAATCCTGCATCTGAAATTAGTCATTTTGGATGAAATATAGCAGAGAACTTGAAAGGATGACAACATGATCCTTTGCCATGTCTCTGAACTTCTCTCCAAATCTCTCTCCTTTGTTCTTTCCCCTTATCATCGAGGGCATTCATTGATCTCTTCACGGTTCAGTGCTGATTTTCCCTTTCTCACTTGTTCCCCTTCTCATTATCCCAGTTACACAGGTACCTGAGCAGAAGTGTCAGGAGTACGGACAGACAGACTCAGCATCACAGCAACAATGGCCTCATCAGTCCTGGGGATGATCAAGGAGGAGGTGACCTGTCCTATCTGTCTGGACCTCATGGTGGAGCCTGTGAATGCAGATTGTGGTCACAGCTTCTGCCGAGCCTGCATCTCACTGAACTATGAGTCCAGCAAAATCAAAAAAGGGGAGGGCATCTGCCCTGTGTGCCAAGTTACTTACCAGTTTGGGAATCTGAGGCCTAATTGGCATGTGGCCAACATAGTGGAGAGGCTAACAGGGCTCAAGACAAGCTCAGGGGAGGAGCAGAAGGTGAATGTCTGTGCAAAGCATGGAGAGAAACTCCAGCTCTTCTGTGAGAAGGACATGATGGCCATCTGCTGGCTTTGTGAGAGATCTCAGGAGCACCATGGTCACCAAACAGCTCTCATTGAAGAGGTGGCCACTAAATACAAGGTAGGAAGTGGGAGGGTGTGGGACACAGAGCAGGAGACAGTAACAGATGGAAAATCTCTACTTGGTTTGTCAGGCTAATTACCTGGACATCATAGACTCTGGGGTTGTTGAATCATTCTATCCTTTCCTACTTTTAGAGTCCTAAAAGGACATGATGATTTATTCCACTTAATCGATAAGAATCAACCTGGAGTACAAATATTAAGATGGAAAAAAAATGTTTTGGAACTTTCTCCAAGAAGTTGAGTTGATGATGAAAAAAAAAGCCAAGAACAGCTGCTAATTTATTTCATAATTATCTTCTTACGTTGTTTATGTCAGATTCATTCATACTACCTAAAATCGAGTCCCGTGACTTCCAACCATGGGGCTAGTAAATGAATGACGTGCAGCAGTGAAGATAATGTGAGTGCGGCAGTTGAAACATCTGGGAAGAGGGGAAAGAATTCCCTAGTGAGATGCACAGAGGCAAGTTCCATGTTGGGACTTTGTTTTCTGTTGGTTGTTTTTGAGCACACATGTAAACTCATGGAGACTGTTGCAGCATGCACAGAGCCTGCAAGGGTCTGCACCAGATGGGATTCTAGAGCTGGAGTAAGTGGGCACATGACCCATCCCTAACCCGGAAGCAATCTCCAATTGATAGCTACTTGTAAATGAAAATTTACTTTTCTCCAAGGAAGTCTCACTAGGGAAATAAACCACTCACTTGTAAGGATAGGTCCTGTGCCCAGCAGTAGATAGATGACCAACACAGAGAAACTGGAATCCGTATTTGGAGGTTCCTTCTCTCATAATGTTAAGTCAGGGAATTTTTCCCCTACTTTACTCACAATTTGCATTTATATTAAGACTTAGGGTTTTTATGGGATTCCCGTTTGTTGGAAACCTGTGTGTCTCTGCATCTATATGCATTTCTTATGCTGTTTATTTCGTTCTTTTTCTGGTTTCTTTGTTTTGCCACATTCCAGTGTACTTGTTTTTTGACTTCTCTCATTGTATTATCTTTTATTCTGATATTATTTCTTAGATGCCTGTTTGTTTTGTAACAAGAGACAGAAATGGTGTGGATCTGAATGGGAGGGGAAATGGAGAGGAACTGGGAGGAGTAGGGGCAGGGGAATCTATAATCATAATATGTTGTCTGAAAAAAAAATCTATTTTCAGTGAGAGAAAATAATCTTAACTACAAAAATAAAAAACAATTTAAAAAGAAAAGAAACGAAGACCTGGAGAGACGACTCAGCAATTAAGGGCACTGGCTGTATTTTCAGAGGACCTGAGTTCAATTCCCAGCGTGCACATGTTTTAACAGATCCAGAGGATCCTCCACCTTCACACAGATATACAGGCAAACACCAATGCACATGAAATTAAAAAAAAAGAAAATAAAAGTCAGAAGGATGTGCATGTGGACAGTGTGGAGGGACATGACTGGTCCCAGAACTCTGGGGGCTGAGGCAGGGGGCTCTCTGAGTTTGAGGGTATACTGGTCTACACAGGAAATCCAGACCAGCCAGGCTACGTAGGAGGAACCAATTTCAAAAAAAGAAATTCATGTGATGTTTGTATATTTTTCTATGAAAGATCGGGAAACTTAATACAATTTATTCCAGTTCTCTAATGCCAGAAACAAAATAAAGGTTCAGACTTGGTGGGATGATTGACTAAGGGAGATATGTGTATCTTTGTATGGGACTTGTCTGTGTATAAATGCAAGAATGGATTGAGATGGACACTTAATTTGTATACTTTATGTGCACAAATCATGGCACAAGATTTTAAAAAGAGAACAGTTTTAGACCTCCTGCCTTTCCAAAAGGGTTTCTTGGCCTTTGGCTAGGAGCAGCTGTCCTACTAAGCACACAGCTTGATTCTGTTACAATTCCTCTCCCTCAGGGGATGCTCCAGGCTGCCCTGGAGATGCAGATGGCTAATAAGAAAAGATGTGACCAGTGGGAAGACGACCTTCAAAAGGAGAGAGTTTCCTGGGAGGCAAGTGGGGACCCTACCTCCTAAGGGAGTTAGCCTGATGCCTGGGAGGGACCTGGGCAAGATGCTCCCTGGCTCTTCATTCCCTGGAGGCTGATGGGGACAAGAGGCCTTGATTACTCTTCTCTGCCTATTTTCTTGGAGCTGGGGCTGCACAGAGCTAAGCCTGGCTGTGTGAGGAGCTGACACCATGGCAGGGGCCTGATGAGAATGGCACTGAGTCCTAGGACTCGATCCTGTGGTGCTTTCTGGAACTGTGACTGTTGGGAAGATGCTTGGGAACAGTCACAGTTTTATTCTTGGGGTTAGTTTCTCTTAGGGGTTCAGAGGTAGAATGAGAAGTATTGCAATTAGCTGTGTGAAAACTGAGCCACACCCAGGTACCCACCTTGGTTCAAATGGCCTTGGTAAAGGTGACCTAAGACCTTTGTTTTGGAATGTCGTGAACAGACACTGATAGGAGACAGATGCTTCCCTAAGACTGCCTTCCCTTCCCAAGCTCAGTTCCTGTGAGAACTCCCCATCAGAACAGTGGATTTCTGTCTCTCAGCACCATTAGGACAGTCTGAATAACTCTCCCTTTTCTTGTCTCTGAAGAACCAAATACAGAGGGATGTAGGAAACGTTCAGAAGGAGTTTAATGGACTGCGGGAATTTTTGGACTCCAAGGAGACGAATGAGGTGGAGAAGCTGATGCAAGAGAAGAAAGACACTATGAACAGCCTGGCAGTGTCTCAAAATGAGCTGGTGAAGCAGAAGGAGTCAGTGAGAGACCTCATCTCAGATCTGGAGCAGCGGTTGCAGTGCTCAACCCTAGAGATGCTGCAGGTAAGACCGCAGGAGGTCCAGTATCTGAGAGTCAGGACACCTGGAAGCCATTTCCTTCTCTCTGTGCTGCTGTGATCTCCCTGATGAAGACAGTAGGGCTCTCTGGACCCTATCTGAACTCTTTCCTGAACCAGTTTCAAAGGCTGGGGAATCATTGCAAGCATGGATGGCAAGAGGAAGTTGCATTTTTTTTTTTTAGTTTATCAAGTACAGTACAAAAGCTGAACCTTGAGGAGAAGATCTGTTGCATCATGGATAGTTATCACCCTGTTGTAATGCTGAGTATGGGGGAAGCATATCCAACCTTCAAGCTAGTCACTTCACCTGTACTTAAATTGAGTAGGCCTTGTGACTCCCACAGATGAGTGAAACTTTCACCCATATTCCCTCTGATTCCTGGGAGAGGAGGGTGGGGCTCAGTGAAGGTGGCTGTTGTTAGAAGCAAAATTAACCTATAACCCCCACCTGCCCATGGACCAAGTAACCTTCTGGGATTCTGGAGTGGCAGTTCGTAGAAACTAACAACAAAGCCTTATGGGCAAGTATGGTGACCTGTGAGTTTTGCCCTTTATAAGCTCTGCCAACGAGTGTCTCTATACACACACCTGGAAAGTCTTCCAGGTGATGTTTCTGGCCATATTTCATCTTGGTCAGTATTTAATATTTTTAATAAAAGCTTGCTTAAATTCAGCCAAGATGGTGGAACTGTTTTTTTCTGGCGAATTTTAGGATTAACACTGTAAATCATCCATAATCTCAGAGAGGTTTCCCTCCTCTGTCTTTGTGTTGCTGGGATAAAAGGTGCCTTCTTTATGCTTACAAGTATAAAGTTTGTAATGTATTTTATCTCCATCATATATTTAAACCAAAGCCATATTTTTTGTGATGAATATCTCTGTAGGAATTTGGTTCTTTCATCTGAATTTTCAATCTTATAGACCTTGGTAGTTCTAGGAATTCTTTTTTTTCTTAGATTCTTTTTTTATTTAAGTAAAAATTTCCACTTCCTCCCCTTCTCCCATTTTTCTTCACCTCCACCCACTCTCCCTCCCCCTACTTATGGAGTCCAAAGGGCAGTTAGGGTTCCCTGCCCTGTAGGAAGTCCAAGGTCCTCCCCCCTCCATCCAGGTCTAGGAAGGTGAGCATCCAAACAGACTAGGCTCCCACAAAGCCAGTACATGCAATGAATCAAAACCCAGTGCCATTGTCCTTGGCTTCTCAGTCAGCCCTCATTGTCAGTCACATTCAGAGAGTCCGGTTTGATCACATGCTCCATCAGTCCCAGTCCAGCTGGCCTTGGTGAGCTCCCATTAGATCAGCCCCACTGTCTCAGTGGGTGGGTGCACCCCTTGCAGTCCTGACTTCCTTGCTCATGTTCTCCCTCCTTCTGCTCTTCATTTGGACCTTGGGAGCTCAGTTCAGTGCTCCAATGTGGGTCTTTGTCTCTATCTCCATCAATCGCCAGATGAAGGTTCTATGGTGATATGCAAGATATTCATCAGTGTGGCTATAGGGTAGGGCCAGTTCAGGCCCTTCTCCTCAGCTACCCAAGGAACAAGCTGGGGATATCTCCTTGGATACCTAGGAACCCGTCTAGAGTCAAGTCCCTTGCCAACCCTAAAATGGCTCCCTTAATTAAGATATATACTTCCCTGCTCCCATATCCACTCCTCCTCCATACAAACCATCCCATTCCCCCAAGCTCTCCCTATCCTCCCCTTCTCACTTTTCTCTCTTCATCTACCCTTACCCCCATGCCACTCCCACCCTCAAGCTCCCAATTTTTGTCTGGTCATCTTGTCTACTTCCAATATCCAGGAGAATAACTGTATGTTTTTTTTTTTTTGAGTTCACCTTCTTATTTAACTTCTCTAGGATCACAAATTATAGTCTCAATGTCCTTTATTTATGGCTAGAATCTAATTATGAATGAGTACATACGATTTTCATCTTTTTGGGTCTGGGTTACCTCACTCAGGATAGTATTTTCTATTTCCATCCATTTGCATGCAAAATTCAAGATGTTATTGTTTTTTACCACTGAGTAGTACTCTAAAGTGTATACATTCCACACTTTCTTCATCCATTATTCCATTGAGGAGCACCTAGGTTGTTTCCAGGTTCTGGCTATTACAAATAATGCTGCTATGAATATAGTTGAACAAATACTTTTGTAGTATGATAAGGCATCTCTTGGGTATATTCCCAAGAGTGGTATTGCTGGATCCTGGGGTAGGTTGATTCTGAATTTCCTGAGAAATCATCACACTGATTTCCAAAGTGGTTGCACAAGTTTGCATTCCCACCAGCAATGGATGAGTGTTCCCCTTACTCCACATCCTCTCCAGTAAAGGTTATCATTGGTGTTTTTGATATTAGCCATTCTGACAGGTATAAGATGGTATCTCAAAGTTGCTTTGATTTGCATTTCCCTGATTGCTAAGGAGGTTGAGCATGACCTTAGGTGTCTTTTGGCCATTTGAACTTCTTCTGTTGAGAATTCTCTGTTCAGTTTAGTGCCCCAATTTTTAATTGGGTTAATTAGCACTTTAACGTCTAGTTTCTTGAGTTCTTTATATATTTTGGAGATCAGACCTTTGTCTGTTGCGGGGTTGGTCAAGATCTTCTCCCAATCAGTAGGTTGCCTTTTGTCTTAATGACGGTGTCCTTTGCTTTACAGAAGCTTCTCAGTTTTAGGAGGTCCCATTTATTCAATGTTGCCTTTATTGTCTGTGCTACTGGGGTTATACGTAGGAAGTGGTCTCCTGTGCCCATGTGTTGTAGACTACTTCCAACTTTCTCTTCTATCAGGTTCAGTGTGTTCAGATTGATATTGAGGTCTTTAATCCATTTGGACTTGAGTTTTGTGCATGGGGATAGATATGGATGTATTTTCATTCTTCTACAGGTTGACATTCAGTTATGCCAGCACCATTTGTTGAAGATGCTTTCTTTTATACATTGTATACTTTTAGCTCTTTGTCGAAAATCAGGTGTTCATAGGTTTGTGGCTTAATATCTAGGTCTTCTATTGATTGCATTGGTCGACTTCTCTGTTTATATGCCAATACCAAGCTGTTTTCATTACTGTAGCTCTGTAATAGAGTTTGAAGTCAGGGATGGTAATGCCTCCAAAAGTTCCTTTATTGTATAGGATTGTTTAGGCTATTGTTTAGGTTATTCCATATAAAGTTGATTATTGTTCTCTCAAGGTCTGTGAAGAATTTTTTTGGCATTTTAATGGGGATTGTGTTGAATTTATAGATTGCCTTTGGTAGAATTGCCATTTTTACTATGTTGATCCTACCCATCCAAGAGCATGGGAGATCCTTCCATTTTCTGGTATCCTCTTTAATTTCTTTCTTCAAAGACTTAAAGTTCTTGTCAAATAGATCTTTCACTTCCTTGGTTAGAGTGACCCCAAGATACTTATGCTATTTGTGGCTATCGTGAAAGGTGATGCTTCTCTGAATTCCATCTCTGCTTCTTTATTTTTTGTTTATAGGAGGGCTACTGATTTTTTTGAGTTGATCTTGTAACCTGCCACACCACTGAAGTTATTTATCAGTGGTAGGAGTTCTTTGGTAGAGTTTTTGGGGTCACTAATGTACACTATCATACCATCTGCAAATAACGAAAGTTTGACTTCTTCCTTTCCGATTCTACTCCCCTTGATCTCTTTATGTTGTCTTATTGCTATTGCTAGAACTTCAAGAACTATGTTGAAGAGATATGGATAGAGTGAACAGCCTTGTCTGGTTCCTGATTTTAGTAGAATAGCTTTGAGTTTCTCTCCATTTAATTTGATATTAGCTGTTGGCTTGCTAAATATTGCTTTTATTATATTTAGGTATGATCCTTGTATCCCTAATCTCTCCAAAACCTTTATCATAAAGGGGTGTTGTATTTTGTCAAATGATTTTTCCGCATCTAATGAAATGATCATATGGTTTTTTTTTCTTTCAGTTTATTTGTATGATGGATTACATTGATAGATATTTGTATGTTGAACCAGCCCTGCATCTCTGGGATAAAGCCTACTTGATCATAATGGATAATTTTTTTAATGTGTTCTTGGATTTTGTTTGCCAGAATTTTATTGAGAATTTTTGCATCGATGTTCATGAGTGAGATAGGTCTGCAATTCTCTTTCTTGGTTGGGTCTTTGTGTGGTTTTGGAATCAGGGTGACTGTAGGTTCATAAAAAGAGTTTGGCAATGACTCTTCTGTTTCTATTATATGAAACACATTAAGGAGTATAGGCATCAGTTCTTCTTGGAAGTTCTGATAAAATTCTGCATTAAAACCATCAGGTCCTGGGCTTTTTTTTTTTGGTTGGGAGGATTTTTATGACGGCTTTTATTTCCTCATGACTTATAGGTCTATTTAAATTGTTCACCTGGTCTTGATTTAATTTTAGTAAATGGTACTTATCTAAAAACAAGTCCATTTCTTGTACATTTTCCAACTTTGTGGCATATAAGCTTTTGTAGTAAGACCTAATGATTCTCTGAATTTCCTCAGTGTCTGTTGTTATGTCCCATTTTTCATTTCTGATCTTGTTAATTTGCATGTTCTCTGTCTGCCTTTTGATTAGTTTGGATAAAGGTTTGTCAATCTTGTTGACTTTCTCAAAGAACCAGCTCTTTTTTTCATTGATTCTTTGGATTGTTTTCTGTGTTTCTATTTTGTTGATTTCAGTCCTCAGTTTGATTATTTCTAGTCTTCTACTCCTCCTGGGTAAATCTGCTTCTTTTTTTTTTCTAGAGCTTTCAGCTGTGCTGTTAAGTCTCTAATGTGAGCTTTCTCCATTTTTTTAATGTGGGCACGTAGAGCTATGAACTTTCCTCTTAGCACCACTTTCATCGTGTCCCATAAGTTTGGGTATGTTGTGTCTTTATTTTCATTGAATTCAAGGAAGACTTTAATTTCTTTCTTTATTTCTTCCCTGACCCAGGGATGGTTCAGTAGTTGACTGTTCAGCTTCCATGAGTTTGTAT